CGCATGAGTTGTGAATTGGCAGGAGTTGAATGGTATCGTTATGACGTCATGAATGCCAAGGTAACTTTCAAATACTCTCCCCGAAATACTCTCCTCATTTTCGCGGGCGTGTAGCTCAGAAATTGGAGGGGTTTAGGTCTTAAGAAGATCAGGGCTGTAAAGCGCACAAAAGATCTTCAAAATGGCTATTCCAGTTCAAAATCTCATCTAAATGTGAAACACTCCCTTTAACCTTCGCTCTGGTACGGCGGACAACTCTCCCTAGGATTCTCGGAGATTGCATCTCCGGTATATCGTGCAATCGCGCGCAAATTGTTGGCAGGCTCTAAAGAATTTATCGCGCGTCTTTTGACACCAAAAACTTATCCCTACCAATCCTCTTTCTTGAGAAGCGATATGTCTTAGGAACACTGTACGATCAACGTACGGGGCGGGCGATGTGTGGTACGTTAAGGTCACTTTTACATTAAGGGAGTCCTACGTGCTACATTTATGTTCAAAACACACAACTGCACATCATAGCACTCCTAATTAAAAAAGGAGCACGCCTATTTACATTTCGTGTCACCATGTGGCATGGTCTGGTACATAGGAACATGAAAAGCGGAGTGTTTGATTCTCAGGAGAATTTGCGCTGTTTCATTTGCTGTTTGACTTTCATCCACTTCACTTTTATCCGTTCGGTTTTTATCCATTTTGACTTTCCCCCATTTTGATTTTTACCTTTGACTTGTTGGCTTTTATACACTTGAATGTGAAAACCTCTTTAATTTTTGGCAATTGATGTTCTCACCTTTTGTTTTTTGTTCTTTGGGCTCTTGGCTTTTGAACTGGGCCACGCTGCATAGACAATATTTTCTTGGCTGATCTTCTTAAGAATGCCTGGTGATCCGTCACAGTTAGTGGAGATGATTACCGAAGATAGCAGGGTCTTTTTGTCAGCCAACGTGAACTTTTCGTTGATTAAAACACATGGTTGGACGTCATGATGTGGGTTCGGCTAAGGTCCTGCGTACTTTGCCCAGGTTTAGACTTCGAGTGACGATCTTGAGGGTTGAAGTTCGTCGCATGGCGTTAGCTCGAGTGACGAATTACGTTTTGATGCTGAAAATGCCCGGTCGGGTGGCATAAGTTTGGTGGATGTGAAGTTCCCCGTCCTTGACCTTGATTCGGACCTTAAAGGATGATCGTGCAAGCTGAGTCATCATTGCTGGACTTCGTTCTGATGCTTAACACATCCGGCTGGGTATCATAATTTTGGTTGGTTTAAAGACCTCCGTCCTTGTGCCTAATTCACATGTTAAAGGGTGACTTTGTGAGCTGGGACCTTAGGCCCAACGTTCGGTTGGATGGTATCAGTTTGGTTCACGTATAGCTACGGTTTACTTGACCTTAATTTTGATCTTGAAAAATGACATTGAAAAATGGGGTTAGTTTGGCGTTGTGCCGGGTGAAGAACTGCGTTTTCATCCCTAAAACGCCGGGCTGCTAAAACTTCTATAATTTCGGTCGGTCTATAATTTCTATAATTTTGATCTACGTGCTATAATTTCGGTTGGTATGCAATTCCTCGTCCTCTAAGGACATCGGTGATCATTGATGTGGGAGCTCACAGAAAACTGAGAGGTAGTCCGTTTGCAGTCCTGTCTTTACTACTTGTTCAGCACCATAATACTTATATCATTTTTATCTCGAGCTGGGGGCGCGGACGCTACATTTCTTCACCGAAGACGTGTTTGCCGCAGTACACCTGCCTTCCCCGTCCCGCATTCCGATTTCTGCGCCCATAGTGGTAAGCGAGCCACCGCGCCACTGTGCTCTTAACAATGCAGCTCTTGCCTTCCGCTGTAGAAAGTTACGACACTCAGACCCCAGAAATGGCTCAAACACAGAGTCGAAGGCCGCCGCGGCGAGAGCGGTAATAGGTGTCCAATTTGGTGACCCAATCGTGAAATTGCAATCAGTGAAGGCCAACATCGGTGGGCCAGGAAGTAAAAGGTGTGTCCAACGACGTTGTCGAGCACTACGCAAATGAACCCAAACCAGTCAAAAAGCCTAAGTGTCTGCCACTGCAACTGACAGCGTAATCTGGCGGCTCTAATGCAGTATTCAGACTGCCAGGAACTTTCCAATGGCGAATCTGCCCACCATTGCCGCGGTTCATCAGCTGTGCTGCATTGCTAAAGGCCGCGAGGCGGCAGCTAGTCGTCCAATGGCCAATCTTCCCAGTATTGTCATGGTTCATCAGCTGCGTTACGCCTCCGGCGGCCCCCGACTCCGCCGCCTGCCGTCTGGCTCGGCGAGGCACCGCCAGCCGCCGGCCGCTCGCCGGCCGCGTCCTCTGTTCATTCTCACTGTCGGCCCACTGTCGTGACGAGTGCCGAGGTCAGCCGTGACATGGCCGGCAGAGCCACCGCCTGAACTGTGGGACTGCCGCGCCCGTCCGCTGCTGGCTGCCGCCCACTTACTGAGCTGCGCCGCTGGCAGGCTGCCGCGCCGTGGCTGCATCCTGTCGCACGTTCGAGTGTTGTGGCAGCCGGAGTGGCGGCAGTTCACTGGCAAACCGCCTGCGGCTAAACAGCGGGTGCGCCATTCAGCGCTGCTGCGGTTATATCCTCACGTTTCGGCTGCTTTATTTGTGCTGTGAAATATTGTATTATATGACTTCTTCAGGTTAGGGTGGGTCATGCCATCGAAACTCCGCATCAGTCATTACAAGTCTTTAGACGTACTCCAATCAAGATGATATGATCCGATTTAACCTGGTAATATGTTGTATATTGATAGGTACATAATATGATAAATCCTTATATATATATATATATATATATATATATATATATATATATATATATATATATATATATATATACGCAATGTTTCACGCTGGAAAATATGGAAGCGAGCGTCAGATATGTGAAGCAAGCTCACCTATAACCATTGATGTACTTTTGAAGTGGAAAAGACTGTTCTCGACAGAACAATTTTTTGTTAAGTGGATATATTTCTCATTGCGTCGTGGTTTGATAACGTCACCGTACCTTGCACAACATTGCTTCAAGGGAGTGTGTCTAACAAGTGAGGATTTTTGACTGTGCACGTAGGATGGAGGGAAATTTCGATTTACAAATTTTGGTGTCATTGGTTTCTACAAACTCGCCTCCACTTATGAACTATTCCCACAGCCCCCAAAGCAAAATTCACTAATTAACACATCGACATCATTGAGAATGTATCACTGGCACTAGCCAATGGCTTTTCGAGGATGTCGCTTGTCAGCGCTGACAGCAGCTTGCGAGCGCGGCGATGACGACGGTCATTATGTTAATTTTTTGTTTTTGTTTTATAGTCAGCTGAGGGCTGCGAGTGGGCGGGTTTAGATGTATGGTCAGGCTGATCAGTTGATACGCACCAATTCATTTCGGTCTTCTTTATACTGGGATGGGGAACAAGTGGTGTATCGTGTCAATCGGCTGCACCAGGCTCTAACGAAATGTGGATTGTTCTACGTTGCTTAGCAACCGAAACGATGGTCACTGTCTCTAGCGCGCAGTTACTCGCTACATATCAACCAATACACTCGTCCTTTCTGGCCCAATTGGTTTATCTTTTATAATTGTATTTGTTTACGCACGGCCATCGATGAAATCGATACAAATAAATACATCAAAACTGTTGCAAAGATAAGACAGTAGCATAAGGCTTACTCTTCGGAGAAAAACCAGGAGAATGGAGATAGAGCTGGGTTGATATTTCGGTAACATGCGTTTATCGAAACAATAGCAGAAGTGTCTAGTCTTTTGCTATTGTTGCGATACGGGCATGTTGTCGAAATATCAACCCACCTATATCTCCATTTTCCTGTTTTTTTTTCGAGGAACAAGGGTAATACTGCTGTCTTATCTGTGTCAATAATGTTCCTCGCTAATGCACTGAACGAATTACGTAAAACTGTTGCAAGACCCAGATGCACATATGGCAACCGAAATCAACAATATAAATTTGCCAAACTCCCCTAAGGTGTGTATTAGGAAAACCGAAAACATTAGACACACTCCCTTTAAGAGCCAATTGACGGCCGTTTTATCTGGAAATCGTGCTCACGAACGCCAGTTATGAACGCCTCGACGATTATGTTTTCTTGGCCTTGGTCACCAAATGACTTATGGAATGATAGGATTTGAATCACGTTGTTATGACGTCGTGAATGCCAAGGTGACTGCAATACTCTCCCGATATACTTTTTCCCAGTTTCGCGGGCGTGTAGCTCAGAAGTTAGATGGGTTTGGGAATTTAGATTAAGAAGGCAAGGCGAGACTGTGGGCAGCACCGGAAGGTCTTCAAGGTGGCTTTTTCAGTGCAAGCCCCCACATAAATGTGGAACACTCCCTTTAACCTGCGCCTGGCCGGGGGTTTGAGATGACCGCTCCTGGCTGGGGGGGGGGGGGAAGTTGACTACCCCCCCCCCCCCCCGCTCTGGGATCTCTAACTTCCAGACGCCGTATGAGAGAAACAGAGACGTCGCCACTGGTCACTGTCGCCGCATGTCGCTGGTCACTGCCGAAGCCGCCCGGATGTCACTGGCCACTGCCACAGCCGTCCGGATATCACTGTGGTCACTTCCGCAGCTGTCCGGATGTCACGCGTCAGCTGTCCTCGCTGAGCGGCCCCGCTGCCGCGCCCCAGCTGTCCTGCTGAGCGGCCCCGCTGTCTCTGCAGCCATCCCGCTGAGCGGCCCCGCTGCCCCACTGCAGCTGTCTCGCTGAGCAGCTCCACTGCCTCACTGCAGCCGTCCCGCTGAACGGCCCCGCTGTCTCTCTGCAGCCGTCTCGCCGAGCGGCCCCGCTGCCTCACTGCAGCCGTCTCGCCGAGCGGCCCCGCTGTCTCTCTGCAGCCGTCTCGCCGAGCGGCCCCGCTGTCTCTCTGCAGCCGTCTCGCCGAGCGGCCCCGCTGCCTCACTGCAGCCATCTCGCTGAGCGTGGCTGATGCCGGTGCCGCAGGTGCAGCTGGCCAGCCTGTGCATCTGCGTCAATATCAGCGCCACGGTCACACTTCTCTGCCTCTTCATGCCCAAACTCTACATTGTCGTCTTCCAGCCATACAAAAACGTGCGCCAGGTCGGCAGCAACAATCAGGTGAAAGGTCGGCTGGAGGACGCTGTTTTCCTGCCGTTCGAACGCCGCGCCGCTAATGACGATTTGTGTTTTATCAACCATGCGGACCGCTGGCGGCGGCCAACACACTTGAGGGCCGCGCTGCGAGGGCGTTTCGCTTCTGATTCACGGAGGTTTGCTGTGCGCATTTTAACAACTTATGAATCTGATGCCGAGGACTGTTTGTTCCAAGGGAACCCCTTCGCCTGAATGTATCGTCAGATGTCGTGAGGGCGTCGTTGCGGTTACGCCCATATGGTGTGTGGAACGAGGTTGCAGCCTTCGAGATTACAGATAAGACCCTACAAAGAGCCTTGGTTCTCGTAGAATATACCAGAAGAATTATATATATATATATATATATATATATATATATATATATATATATATATATTGCGTGTGCTTGTGCGTGTGTATGTGCATGCGCTTTTGGGCGCGTGCGTGCGCGTGTGCGTGCATGCGTGCGTGCGTCTGCATGTGCGTACGTGCATGCGTGAATACGGCCGCTGAAACTGTGCTGACGCGGCCTCTGCTCGTCGCAGGGCTCGGCCGGCCGCAGCGGGCACATGCGGTTCGCGCGCACCCACCGCCTGCCGACGGCCAGCTCCCAGCTGAGCCAGCTGCAGGCGGTGGTCGCGGCGCCATCACCCACCTCCAACGGCCTGCCGTCGGCACCGGCGGCCAGCTGAGGCCGCGCCGGGGGGTCGATGCCGGCCCCCCGGCCGCCGGCGGCGGTGCCTGCCCGGGACACACTCGACGAGCGGCGAACGCTCAGCGAGTCTGTGCGTCGCGGCGCCGGCGCCTTCTTCGGAGACGGCGGCGACGTGCGGCTTGTGCAGCACGAGGTCATCTGGATATGACAGGAGGTGGAGGCCCGCATCTAGCGCGGGCCCGCAGGCGGAGGCGCCCCTCGTCGGACATCGGCGCAGCGGCGGTCAGGCTCGTAGCAGTCAGGTGTGGCGGCAGAAGAGAGACGGGGGATGGGGTCTGTGAACTACGTACGTGCCTGGAATTAGAAGGTCTAGAAGACTCGCGCTCAGCCTGTTTGGACAAGTGGCGGGAGGAAAAGTCATACGTGTTTATCTGATGTAGTGAAGATGTTTGTGTCTGGTGGGAGCCTGTTGCTTGTGGGGAAAGGAATGCGACTAGGAATGGGATTAATGCTTGTGTAGCTCTTGGGCGCTGGCAGTTTGCTCTTGCGAACCGATATATGTACGACAGTTTTATGGGTGTTCACGGTTGCATCGTTATTTGAAGGAGTTGGGGGCGATACCAGGAAAGGCAAATCTGATTAGCATGGTCACACGATGCAGGATGAAATGCTTCGAATACCAGCCACGTGTGGTAGATACAAAGCATATCGGTCCTCGGAGGATAAACTGTCGTAATGCTCGGCGCGAAAACTCATGATAATCGTCATCCAGTTGACCCAATAATCGCAACGTTGTGGTGCCGACCAGATTACTATCTATAATGCGAGGCACGTCCTGATCGATGCCATTCACGAGGGACATATGTGATTGAGGCTTGTTACGAATTGCAGAATCTGATCAGTCAGCCACACGAGATCGATGTCGGTTGTCGCCCATCTCACGTGAAACGGTTGCAATGAATATCTGTTGTGGCCAGGCCCACACTCGTGTTCTGCTCACATGAGGTCAAGTGCGTGTGTCACGGGTTGGATCAGTGTCAGGTGTCGCGTCACCGAGTTCATGTGAGACGGCGCCGGCGGCAGCGCAGTCTGCGGGAATCTCAACCCAGTGCCGAAGCTCACCGCGCCCATTGGCCGATCTCTGGCAGCGCCAGGGACTGCGTGCGCCCGACCCGCGGGGTGCTGTCGCTCCCAGTCGGCCGCTGCCCCGCGTGACGGACGAGTGGAGCCACGTCTGCAGTCGGAGGCGCGCCGACCGGCGTCGCGCCCCTTCGGCGGCGGGCCGCCCCCCTCCCTCGCGGGCGCGGCCCGCCGCCGTCCCGAGCCCTGTACAGCGGCCGGCGCCGGTCAACCGGCCCTCTCGGCCCGCGCCACCCCGAGTGCAGAGTGGCGCCGCCGCCCGCCGGACGGCGGCCGACACAGGCGGCGGACAGCTGACGGACCTGTACAAACGGCAGCTGGCTCCGGCGAACAGGGCCGCCCTGTGGAATAGCAATGTGGTGCACAAATGTGTTAACTGAACCTGGTCTTGGCCGCTGTGGGCGTGGCCCATATGCATGTGCAATTAATTGCACCTGCGCACATGTGCGTTGTGTTATACTCAACGTCCTCGTGTAAATAATCGCCCTTCTCTTTGCATGTTGTGTTTCATTTGATAGCTCATGGACTTTGCATGGCCCACTGTGGTCTGTAGTTGCCGTGATGTTCCAAAGCAACCAGTGCCAGTAGTCAGTACAGCTTTGGCGTCAGCAGATGTCACATCGCACAGGCCGCGTGCCTCAAAGTTGTCAATAAACAGGTGGTCGAGAGTGACTGCACGATGGCTGCATATGTTATGACTATCGTGGTATATCAACTACCGCGATTGTGCTGCCAGAGCTCAGGCGGGCATGACAGTCCCGATGGTAGGTGACAAAACGTCATCTAGCGGAGAAGCAGTGACATGAAGCATGAAAGAGGAATTTGGATGTTTCAAAATCTGAAAGTTTTACATGGCCCAAAGTCTACTGAGGCGAGAACATTCTCGTGGTGTTTTAATATGAGTTGAATACTGAATAAAGTTACCATGTTTTGGATATGTCTCACACCAACGCTCTGTGTACTCATTGTTGTTTATTGGTATTTTAGAGCGCCTTGACTACAGTGGTCATTTTGGCCATTTTATGCCCGATTCTGTGTGCTTAAAATATATTAAAAGGTAAATCGTGTGTGACCAAATTGCTGCTTGTGTGCCGCTTGCACACTGGGGCGAATCGGAACAGTGTGGAATTCGTAACTGGCAACGCCATCCAATTTTCGCCAGGGCACTTTCATCATTTTCCCAACTCAGATATTGATCACATGATGTACGGCACTTTGATGAACATGAGCTTTTATTATTGCAGGCAATATAAGGTCGTGAGAACGCCGAAGACCGACGAGGCGGTTTACATGTCGCTCGGCCAGACGGGCGAGACCGCGAGACGGGAAGTGATACTTTGAAACGCTTCATGAAGTCATTACGTTCGGCACGTAAACCAGGCAGGCAGCAGGCTTCCCCTGTGCTTTCCGGACTGATAGTCTGAACAGATTAACAGTCATGACAGCGCAAACATTCAACACAATGATGAAATGCTTGCTGTTCATGTTGGCGTAGCTGTTGGATCGCTACTTTTGTTAACACTGCTGTGTACTCGTATCGAAGATCGATATGAAATTGCATAAGTGAAGTAAACAGCGAATAATGCCCCTGCGACGCAACAAAAAACGCATAAGACGCCCGAAGGTACTATTTCCCGGCACGGGGGACCACTTAAGGTCGCCACCTGGTGTTGAAGACGGCAGCCAGGACCGCCCGGCATGCAGTGACTGCAACGCCGGGAGTATGCAGTCTTGCTTTTAAAGATTACGAGCGAGCATGCTCCAACTATTTCGCATGTTTTTTACCTTTTCATTTTGAAAATAGAAACAGGTCCTAGACAATAGGGGTTGGCCACGTGGATGACGTGCGTTGCCACGAGGTGCCTAATTGCGGCCCCCAGGTAACATCTGAGTTTGCATCTCAGGCGTACGAAAATAATAACAATCGATAGAAGGTTAGAACGCCCATTAATAAAGATTGATATCCGCGATACCGGTCTTGAAGCACAAAGCGCACCAGCCAGCAAAGGTCGACCAGCACGTTTACATTTTTGTAATGGCTAAGTTCTACAACCTAAAGTCATTTTACCCTCTGGTTAACGCCTGAATTGTATCGAATGATTAAATCATGACACTGAATATCAACCAGTTTGAGGCGGGGGAGATTCTGAGCTTGATACTGGCGATACGCGTCAAAACATTTTTACATGATGTGGATTAAAGTCAATACTTCCTCGCATTTTATACGGCCAGGGGGCAGCGCGCAGCACTCACAAATCTGTTTTGGTTGCATTCTGGGCGCTGTGGAGGACGGAATCATGAGGTGTCGGATGAGCATGGAGGTAAAGAATGTTATCCGACTGTTGCGCATGTGCCTTGGTACCACTTAACTTCTGGTGAACGACGATCAGAAGACGGCAGCATGAACACGGCAGTGTTTGGAAAGGCAAAACATACGGATACGTACTTGGACTTCATGTCACATCACAGCAATCAACGCAAAGTTAATGGTTAGATCGCTCGTACAAAGAGCACAAATATTTTCATTAAGCCCCGACGAAAATAGGAGGGAGGTTAAGAACATCAACGAAGCTGTGAAATTTAGCAACTACTCATAAAACCTTGTTACAAGAGGTCGTCAAAAAATTGATCATTGAAGAACACAAAACGCATCACAAGACAATCGGCCCCCGTGGCTTTACGTTACGTGAAGGGAGTGTCAGAGAGGCTAATGCGACTTTTAACACCAAACGCTCGTGTGGTCACAAAACCATGTGCAAACTTTAGAAGGCACCGAGCTCAACCCAAAGACAAATTAAAAACGGGCAAAAAGACAGGAAGGGTTTACCGATACTCATGCGAACGCGGAAATTTTTATGTGGGGAGGCACGCAGAAGCTTAAAGAGCAGAAGGGATGAACGCCAGCGAGCCATAAGAAACACGGATATAAACCGTTCGGGCTCATCGAAGCACGTTCTGGACACAGATCGTTGCATCGCGTGGGGATTTAAATTACGAGACAACAAGCAGACAACAAAGATTAAGCCGGGTACTTTCGCATCTAGGACGACTGGTGAAAAACTTTGGAAAACAAAACCGGGGTACCGATAGTGAGTGTAAAGCAAATTTCGATGATAGGGCTGGAAGGGGAAAGAAACAGTCGGTTCAGGCCAATTTGTACACGTGGTCGTTACCTCGATTTGCTGCCCAATCATTTGAGACATGAAAAGTTTATGGGATTCTGCACTGGCGGGCCAGTGTGTTAAAATGTGGGCGTATGAAACAATATTTTCTCACATGTCATCGCTAGTCAACTTTCTCAGATTGCCACACGGCAAATACGACGGAATAGAGCGAGAGTGGTTTCAGCAATGTTATCGTTTAATGCGGTAGATACACATTGGTTACAGGAAATGTGGCTGAATAACATTCTGATTGGCCGATTCACATCGTATGGAGCAGCTAACAACTGGCATGACAACCAACGCCCCACCATTCGTAAAAGTATTACGTCAACGACTTTTGTCGAAAACAATACCCGCCATTCATCGGAAACAGCGCAGTTCACAGTTTTTTCGTCGCCCGACGCCCGGTGGGGTAAAACTACAAAGAGATAACGAAAAACGAAAACAGAGATTAAAAACACACGGGAGCGTTTCATTAAATAAACCGAAACCCACCTTGACAAACATCATTTGTACAGACGACGCTGCAACCTCAGCCTTTTCCTTGGCGCACGGGCGATAACAAGTGGGGTACTGCCGGCGCGGCGAACGAGCGGCGGCTGGCAGTGGCCTGCGCGGCTCAGCGCACAGCACTAACTCGTGAGCCAGGGGACAAACGCCGACTGAGGAGCGGCCTTGATATAAAGTGACCGCTGCTGTGGAGCGTGTGGTGTGTAACTGGCACCGGTTTGCAGGCGGGTCGGGTTTTACGCTGCACAGGCATCGCACACGGCAGAAGCTGTTGGAGGCAGGCCCAAACGCATATCTACACCTTTGGGAGACCCGGGCCTCACTATCGAAGATCCCCATGGGGGAATCCTAGGCATCTACTATCCAGGCATGTGTCTGGCCAGGTCACGTGTTGGTGGGAGGCTGCTGTCAGAGGGATGCGATCAGATCAGATGCTATCAAGGATGCGATCATGCCTCAAAATGCGGTTAGAGAGTTTGCTCCTGGCTGGTGGGATCGCGAGCCACTATCATCATGAATCTGGCGCGAATTTCGCCGAGCAATGGTAGCCGTACTGCCGTACGCTGGCTTCGGTCGCAGCTAGCTGGGGTCACCGGGTGCCGGTCACAGGCTGCAGAGCCCGCACGACAGCGGACAATGCTCTGCCATGAACTGTGGGCTGCGCCCGCACTCGCCGGCCTGCAGCCAGTGGGTGCAGAGGCCGATGCGGTCGCGACAGTGGGCCGGCCTCTCCTCTGGCGGGCACAGCGTGCAGGCGCGCCGACAGTACACCCGCATATAGGTGGCGCGCGCGTCGCACTGGCCCAGATTGGCCCAGCGGCTGCAGTCGCGGTGCAGGTCGTAGCAGCCAGCCCCTGAGGCGAGACAGGGGTCAGTCGGCGGTGTAACAAACACTACAGATCTAGCACACACTTCAAGAGGGAGTCTCCCTTTAAAAGTGCGTCGTTCCACCAAGGGCAGATCTAGGAATTCGTCAGGCGGAAGGGCGGGGGGCACGCAACATTGTGGGCCTATTAGAGTTTAAAGCCGTCCACCAAAAAGAACCATTGTATTCTGGCCATTAAATTTTAAGATTCTTGGCGTGTTATTTATCAAAGGAAATTCATCCTGCTGTGCGGAGCCTTAGAAAACCAGACGTGCTACGTATGCGCATGCATGGAACTTATTCATTTCTCCAGTTCATGGCAACCCGCCATTTTTATGTTACGTTTTTCGGTAATACATTGCAATATAAACTAAAACTGGCAGCTAAATAACGTCTAAATAAAGTACGAACTTGGTTCATTGCTTATATACACTAGCCGGCTGGGTGATGTGATCAGCTGATGTTGATGACTAATGCAGGGTTTTTGCTTGTTTGCTATAAAGGGGTACAAAATATCTTGGCATTAAGCATTTCTTGAGGACATGATACGCAAGCATAACAGGTGTCACAAATCCAATAACCAACGAACATGACACATAAGACGCCGGCGGCACGTAAAATTATGTTCAACAATGGCGCGCAAAAATTCAGCAGCGTATATTTGACTGCTGTTCTAAGGCTAAGACGCAAAGGCCAATAGGGGAAAACCTAAGCGATCATGTGTGCCGCGGCAGGTGAACAAAGCAGCTTCCGTCATCGAGTGTAGGGTCCTCAGAGCGAGCGAAAGGACCCAGGACCAACGTGGTGAGCCCCTGAACGACCAAAAGTGCAACGGTAGGCTGGCATGTAGAGCCTCGGCCACAGCACGGGGCTCCCTGAGAAAAAGGGAATTACCCTAGACCAATGTGCGTGAAGTAGTACCTCTGCGCAGTCAAGAGTGTCCGAGCAGGTTAAGGGAAAGGGCCCCGATAGGGGTGAAGGGTCCTCCGTGATCGTGGTCAAGGGAAAAGAGCCCTAGATCAATGTTGAGGGCCCCTGAGCATCGAGTGGCTCGGTGCCTTACCTTATATGGGCCTAGCAACAGCACAACACCCTTCGAGCAAGTGGAAAGAACGCGAGGATGATATGAGCGGCCCCTGAGCAGCTGAGTGCACCCCGGCATCTGGCGCCCCGGCAAAAGCGTAAAGAACCTCTCGGGCAAAATGGGAAGAATACGTACAGGGCCCCCGATCGATCAAGAGGAACCACGCATGTTGCTTGATGATGCCCAAACGGTTACGAGAAAATGCAGAGATCCAGGGAAACGTGGAAGCCCCCTTGGCGGTCGGACTGACCCGGCAAGTAGACACTTGGGGCCCCGGCGACAGCATAATGTCTCCGGGCAGCGTAATGACCCTCAAAATGTTCCCCGATCGCCACCCTCTAAATCAGCCAAGAACTGATCTGATTTGTTCACGGGATTTTTACTTTTGCCTGCAACTACTTTTGGTCGTCTGGAGACGTCCGTTCAGCCGGTAATGGGCTCCTTCGGAGCTTGTGAGTCCCCTCGGGTCGCAAGGATGCCATGGCTCCGTGCCCCCCCCCCCCCCTCTGGCTCCGCCACTGGCCCAAGGAGCTTAATAGATGGGCCCCGACAAGAGCAGAGGGTCATCCACTTCAATAAAATTACCCAAGACACAATATGGAGAGCCCACGAATGATCGAACGTGCCCAAGCAGGTTCACAGATGCCCCCCCCCCCCCTCCCCAACAAGACTGTAGGGCCCTCCATTCAACTGATAAATACCCATCACACAATGCGAAAGGCCCTAAACGACCGAATTCCCCGCAAGCAGGTTTACAGATAGGGCTCCCGACAAGAGTGTGGGGCCCTTCACTCAAAAATGCACCCAAAACAATGTAAACGTCCCTCGCACAATTGAGTGTGCCCGACGAGGTTTTCAGAAGTGGCCCCATCAAGAGTGTAGGGCCCTCCATTCAAATACGAAGTGCCCAGGACCCAGTGTGAAGGGCCCCCGAAATATCGAGTGTACCCGAGCGGGCACACTAGATATCAAATGGTCCCCGACAGGAGCCTACGGCTCTACATTCGAATATCAAGATTTGGGGCTCCCAGCAATCCACTGCGTCCAAAGAGGTGAACGAACTGGGCACCCGACACATGCGTAGAACCCTTCACTTAAATGGAAAGTACCTACGACACAATGTAGACGGCTCCGAGCGATCGAGTAGACCAGAGCATGTTGCCAGATGGGCCCCTGACAAGAGCGTAAGGTTCTCCATTCAAATATCAAAACACAATGTGCGGACCCCCGAACAATCCAGTGCGCCTGAACACGTGAACAGATGGGGACCCACAAGAGAGCATGGCCCTCAATTCAAACAGGAAGCACCCACGACCCAGTTTGAAGGGCCCCGAACGACCGAGTGCACCCAAGCAGGTTAGCAGATGAGCCCCGGCAAAAGTGTAGAGTACTAAGCAAGTGACAGAGTATTGGAAGTGCCCTAGACCAATGTAGGGGTCTCATGAGCGCATATTGAGTGTTTCGGTAGTTCAGTCGAGACCAACGTTAACAGAGACCAGCGAGACCAACTGAGCAGCCGAGAATACTCCGGTAGGTTAGCATATGGGACTATGGCGTACAGACCTTTTCGGGCGAACGGAAAGAACCCGTGGGAGGCCCATAATTCACAAGAGTGCACCGTCACGCTAGCAGAAAGGCCTCAGCAACAGCGCAGGCCCCTCCAAACGAGAATAAATCAAGGGCAACGTAGAAGGCTCCTTAACGATCGGGTTGACCCCACAAGTGGACATATAGGGCGTCCTGAAACTGTGAAGAGCCTCAAAACAAAGTGATGACGCTGACATTGTAATAAGCCTTTAAACCTTCCAAACGCCACCCTCTAACAGAAAATAATGGTAACGTGATTAGGTGGATTTGGCATTTGCAGTGAGGGCTAGAGCGATTTGTCTGGATTTGTTTTTAAACCAAAACAAAATTCGAACCGCAATGGAAATCTGGAGTGCAGGATTTGCACACCCTTGATACATCGCACACGGTTCCCGTCAGGCACCCCGGCAGCCAGAGTTGGCGTTGGCCGGGGAATCCCATGAATGGTGTTGCATGCATCCCGAAACAATATAGACATAGACTTCCATAGACGCTCCGGCTCTTAAGGAAGCAAGTCCACAGGTACTTATTTGTTTTGCTACGGAAAGCAGCCAGGACCCCGACTTGTAGCGAAACACTAACGACTTCCATGCCGGCAAAAAGAGAACACGAGGATTACGATTGCTCATCTCCCCTGCCGAGATTCTCACCAGTGCAGGTGAAGCAGGCCTTGGCGCAGGAGCTGTGCATGTAGTCGGGGTTCCTGGCGCACTCGCCGCGACGCGCCCACCAGCCGCAGTGCTCACTTTGGTCCCGGCAGCTGGGGTCCGGCGGCGGCGGTGCGGGCGCCGGCGGTGACGGTAGCCCGCCGTCGCAGCCGTACAGCCGGTTGACGGCGCGCGCGTCCGCCTCACTCAGGCGCACCCGCTGGCCGAGCGCTTGGGTCGGGTCGCGCAGCGCCGACATCGTAGCCCGGCCGCCCGAGGAGAAGGCCCACCGACCGAGGTGCATCAGCGAGCCGAGGTCGTACGCCGTCTCCGGCGGCTTCGGCACGCGTTCGTACGACTGCAGCTGCACCAGCTGGCCGGCCGCCACGTTCTCGCTGTGCACGCGCACGTGCTGGTCGCGGTCGGGGCGGCTCTGCTCGTGCCAGAGCCCTGCGGCGTGCAGCAGCTCGTGCAGCACCACGCCGCGGAAGAAGCAGCCGTTGTCGAGCGAGAGCGTCTGGTTTCCGCCCAGGTGGCCGACGGCACTGTAACAGCCGCCGTCGCGCACGATATGCACGAAATCGCCGGTTGGCCGGCCCGGCGGCAGCGGCCTGACGCGCACGCACGTGCGCCGCTCCAGCTCGTCGATGGCGGCGGCGATGATGCCGCGCTCGCGGCGTGTGAAGCCGGATGCGATGACGTAGCGGATGACGCCGCCGGGCCAGCGGCGGCGGCCGGGCACTACGCCGCCGGCCAGCGCGGCGGCGTCGGCCGGCGTCAGCGCGATGTCGCCCTCAAACTGACCGGCCAGCTCGACGGGGTCCAAGCGGCCGGCGCCCAGCACGGGTCCGCTGCCCGGCAGCTGGGCGCCTGTGGTGAAGTCGGGAGGCGACAGAGGCTCGCCCACGTCGAACCGCGTCTCGTCGCTCGGGGGCGACTCCTGGCCCGGCGGCGGCCTCACCTGCAGATGCCCCGGCGGCAGCATCGGCTCCGAAAAGCGCACCTGCGGGCTGCGCAACAAGTCAGCCGGCGTCAGCGGTGCCCCCGCGGCGTCCTCTGGCGCCGACTCGGTGCTTGACGCTGGCACGGCCGGCGATGCGACACCAGCCGAGACGCACAGGAACACAAGCGGCCACACGGCCGGAGGGGAAGGTCGCTTCATCTTGGGCCCCGTGCGACCGACAGAGCCGCCGCGGCCGCACTGCAGACGCAGCCACTGCTGCCTGGATCACTGCTGCAGCCCTGGTCCGTCTGGACCAGAGTCCGGTCCGGTGCAGCGGCCGGTCGCCTGACCGCCTGCCGGCCAACGACACGACCCGGCGCGTGCAGACCGGGGCTCGGTCTCGCGCCTCATAATCGCTGGACCGTCACCGCTCTCAACATGCCGACGATATGTGATCGATAGCCGAGCATGACGGAACCGACGGTGAACATCGGCGCGCGCTTTTATCTCGTCTGGGAGTGCTCAGCATGACGATGGCCGCGCCAAGGGCGGATGTAATGTCGAATTCGTGGGAACAAGCAAATACCGAAGACCGTACTGCTCATCCTAAGTCATTACCGAAGGCCATGCTTGAAAAAACATGTGCGTCCTGCCTGTTCATCCCCCCCCCCCCCCGGGCTGAACCATACGTACCCGCCAGTGACGCCCTACCTCGGCCATATAACTATGTGGCATTGTCAATGAGCGTAGAATGAGATACGCGAATAGCGTGACTGATCGGGGCCCCGACGAGGCTTGTGGCCGAGCTGGCGCGATGACGCTATCTTTGATCGCGGAAGTGCAGCGCCGTGCAGGCTGTAGTACCGGTTTGGAGCCGGCGTGAGGCCAATAGGTCGCGCCGGCTGACCGCACACCGCGGAGCCTCGCCGACCAGCCCGACGGCGCAGACGGTCACGCGATCAGGGCCGTGCTTAAAGCCACATCCGGGGGTGATGCGGCCGGTTATACAGGTCAGAATCACTTCCTGTAACTAAATGCGCCTGATCTTTTGTACTTCTTTGGTCTGGTGCAAGTTCTGGCTAAGCTGCCGCCACTGCTGTTCCCGCTAGCGGGTCCAGCCGTTTCGTTTGGCGAGAGGAACAAATCGGTTTACCGAAATTTTGCTTACATTCCTCGAGACTTGCATACCTTATAGGATTGGTGTCGCTTTGTTTTGCTTACAAAAAATGAAAGTACATTAGGTTAGGCTAGGTTAGGTCAGGTTAGGTTAGGTTAGGCTAGGTTAAATTACGCTGGGTGTCTGGCCTACCCCACCCTAGCCTCACTAAAAGTTCTAGCGAGTCATGGAGGGTAGCGTTTTGGAGGCTAAGCATACACCTATGATATAGAGGAAAGAATCGAAAAATCCTTTCAAACAATCCTAGACTGGCACAAAGTTGGACAAAACTGTGTTTTTTAGTGGGTTCAACTCTCGCTAGCTACTTACTCGACATAATCTGACGCGGTAAATGTATCCCTGGCGAGTAAACAAACACAAAGTAATAATATTGCGATTTCAGTTTTTCAGAAATTTAAACAAATACGAGACGAACTCCATCCATCAAAACGACAGTTTTTAACCTTTGATGGCCTCTGGTGACCTCACATTGAACCAACGTTCAACAAATTTGTAGGCTTTCTTAACGATCTGACGAGACCTTAACAAGTTTTTTTCTCATACGGCGTATATCTATATCTATATATATATATATATATATATATATATATATATATATACATATATATAATATAATAAAAAAATATATTAAAAAATAAATAACAACAGTTAGTAAATAGTAAATAGTTAGTAAATAGCAATAACCCTAGTTATTTAGTATCTCAACTCTTTAGTATGCGAATTGAATCTGGGCTGACCAATCTGTGAAAAGCCCTGATCTGATGGTCATTGGAAAGCACTGTGCCAGCACTGATTCGTGCCGTCAGCACTGATATAGTATAGATTGAGTATACTTTTGCCGCCTGCCAAAACTATCCTGATTAGAGTTTCCATGCCTGGAAGCATTTGTGGGTCAATTTGCTCATACAACAAAACGTCAATAATTCGACATGTGCTCTACACAATCTTATGCTGCAAGCGTCAGCGAGTAGAGACCAATACTAAGCCTTAAGTTTCATCAAATTGGGAAGGTCTTTTGTTTAGTCACGCGGTCTCCAACGACCGCTGTCAGTCTCGGCTCGGCGGCCCGATCTGACACTGCGGCCCGCACCGGGCCGACAACCGGCAGGGGCGCGCGCCTGATAGGGTGTCAGGTGCTGGCGCCGGGCCTCCACGTCTTCCACACCGTGCAGCCGTGGTTGTGCCATCGCACCGCCCCATCTGTGCTGGGGCTGGGAGGATAGGATGGAGGACTCGCGATCCAAAACGCTTCAGATCTCAGACAAATCAGTTCTTTGCCGCGCCGTGCACCATGTTAGCTGGCAACTAGTTAGAGCTGCTCAGCCTGCCACAAGGTGGCCGTCACATGACACCACACCACACGAAAATGATCCTTCCCGTGCTCTGTGTCCAAAAGGTCGGAAACAGAGCCGCCTCCGACACCACGTGGAGTCGCGACCGGCTGTCTGTGAGCTCCGTGGACAGGCACGCCGTCCGCCGTGTGCTGCCTGGCCGGTGGGGGCCCGCACCAGGGGACAGCGCGCCGTTTGAACTGTCGTCACCGCCGCTTATGCGGACAGGCACGCCCACCGACTGGCTAGCGATGAATCGCTTGGCATGTTCAGAACTTGAGCTGGTGTGGGACAGGGTGCTCGATCTTCGACGATTTCGAAGATGCGGGTTGGTAAAGATTATTCAGGGCGTCTTTGTCTGAACGTGCTGGCGACGCGGGCCCCTAACGCCAACCCCCAGGCACTGGTGGTGGCCGGCATCGCCGCTTGTCACGTTCCATATGTTATTGCCGGGCTCCGGGACGAGCCCCGAACGACCATGCTCTGGGGCCTGCGGCGCCCGAGACTGGGCCAGTTCGTCAGTGGACGAGTGTACCCTGCCGTGTGGCCGACGATGCGCCCGAGACTGGGCCAGTTCGTCAGTGGACGAGTGTACCCTGCCGTGTGGCCGACGATGCGCCCGAGACTGGGCCAGTTCGTCAGTGGACGAGTGTACCCTGCCGTGTGGCCGACGATGCGCCTGAGGCTGGGCCAGTTCGTCAGTGGACGAGTGTACCCTGCCATGCAGCCGACGATGCGCCGGAGGCTGGGCCAGTTCGTCAGTGGACGAGTGTACCCTGTCATGCAGCCGACGGCTCGCCCGCAGCAGTACTGAGGTCATTCAGGCCTTTTCCAATCGGACGTGTTTAGTCTGCAGTCTCCGTCAACTGCTGTGTGTAATCTCGGTCGCGTTTTCTCGCGAAACATTTTGCTCGTGAGTTGGCGTCCTGTTTGTAGTGTTCGCATTCGGTGGTGGCCTCAAAATGGAGTGCACCACTGTCAATGTTTTTTTAAACTCTCTTTTATTATGTTAGCTACAAAACGATGCAGCAGGAGTTGACCTGCATGGCCCCTATGTCTGGCTGACGCCAGACATAGCATTCGATACTTGACCTGGTCTGCGGGTCTGCCGGACGGCCGCCTCGCCAAGCGTCCCGCTTCACGTCTCTCGGAGGCTTCTCAGCTTAAGACAAACGCTGAGAGGGCACGTGTTTGCCGGGACATTAGGACAAAAAAGCAAACTTAACACAAACGCTGCGAGGGAACGTGTTTGCCCAGACATTATGACAAAAAGGCAAACTTAAGGTAAGCGCTGCGAGGGCATGTGTTTGCCCAGACATTAGGACAAAATCACAATTGCCAGACAAATGTTCCGAGAGTACGTGTTGCCCCCGACATTGGGCGGTCACGTCTTCAGGTTCAGTCAACAGGTTCGTCGCTGATAAATAACGTCAGAACCCGCTTGAACCAGCCAGCCAGCCTGTTTTGTCGTGGAAGTCTTTCTATCCGATTCATGCCATCATACCATAATACTATGAATCGTTGGGTGTAGCCTCTCACTATCCACCTGCCGCAAACATCGCACGTGGAGTTGGCGGTTTGTGCACAAACCGCCCTGTTTGTGCGGTCCAAGAGCTTGAATAATGGTCATATTAACCGTCATGCACCGCGTTCACATGTCACAAACGTGTCACCTCAGAATACAAAACAGTTAATAGACTGTCATCGCACAACAACGTAGATATCTGCAAAAACAACGAAGACCTCCAGAAAGCCACGACCTGGTCTTAACTTGCAGAAATGGGCCGCAGCAGAAGCTCAATCGACAAGATAACCGATGCTGGCCCTGACACAGCTGGTCCGCATAACAGTACCAGCAGGCATCTACAGCGTCGGCGCAGCCAGTATGCCCTAATTCTGATAGTTCGGAATGACATTGATACCGACACGACCTGACACTGACACGACCCGACACTGGCACGACCCGACACCGACGCGACCTGACACTGACACCACCTGACACTGACACGACCTCGCACCCGGCAGCCGCCCCTCGGGCGAGGCTCAGTGCTGGGTGGCCGGGTGGTCGGACCGAACCCAGGGCTCGCGCCACACGTCGCCCCGGCCGCCGGTCACGTAGCACGAGCAGCCGGACGGGATCTCCACGTCCTGCACCCGTGGCCGCGAGAACGGGTTCAGCGGGCTGGCGCACAGCATCTTCACCACGGCGAACCGCTGCACGCAAACCGAGCTCATGCACGGCGGCAGGAAGTTGCAGCGCCGGCCCTCATATCTGCAACGGACCGGCCCTCAACCATGACGGCAACGCCGCAACTTTGGCAGCCGGTATCGTCAGACACCGCGCGTACCTCACGTGGGGGGATGCCGCGAGCTTTGACCACCACGTGCGGTGTTTTGGCATTCCATTCGTGAAAAAAGTACGTCAGATCACCCAAGAGTCTTCGCTGAATGTACTTGCTGCGTTGTCTGCCACTGATATTTGAAGTGAAATGAAATTGCAACACGTTTTTACTCCTCAAACACTCTCCCTTGTGGCATCCATAACCAATTTTGCCATAAACATGCCGCATTTATCTGCTGAGAAAACGAGGCCGACCTGTCAGCACCAGAATCGTTCTCACAAACATACCACCCCTATTCTTACGCGCTTAACGATTCCTGATCAAAATCATTACTGTCCTGAAGGCTGCCATGGTTCCCCGCCACATTTTCCGACACACCATCTGCGCCGGTGACGGCGTGCTCCCACCATCTTTGCGGCCTTGCAATCAGACACTGCTGCGTGAGCGTCTCCCAGCTTGACACGCGCCTCAGTGAAACCTGTCGGCTCGCTCGCTCTACCCCTTCCCTTCCTCACCCCACATACCCTTCGCCCTGACGGCCAGCCGAGGCTGAACCTGTAAATTTGACTCTGACTTCTCAAGCTCCACGTCCATACTGAGGAAGGGTAGACCACCTGTGTATGTACCTGGCCACATCCGGGTCATTACCACCTGTCTAAGCCCGTTCACAGAGAAGGCTAACCTGCAGCGCTCGGTGCGCACGACCTGCGGGTAGGAGGGAGCGTTGATGACCAGCTGCCAGGCGCCGGCCAGACTGCGGGCCCAGCCCGGCCGGCTGTAGTGCACCTCCGACTCGCAGACGAACTCGCCGGGCCCGTGGCGGGCCGATAGCGTCTCGGCCGCCGAACGGCCCCTGCAACGCGCATCAGCTGACTACGCAGCCGCTGCTCTGGCCCAGCAGCCAGACGCCGCGTGATCGAGGGCCACGTACGGTCTCCGGCTGAGGCGGGATCTGGTCTTCAGGGAGTGCGTCGGGTCGGGACTGGGAGGTTCCTTGCTGTGGGAAGACTAGGGCATCGAATGAATTACCCCCCAGCCACCCTCGCTCGGTTTAGTGCCTGAAGCCGTTCTCTGCTCTTTTAAGGGCTGATTATGCGTAAGGAAAGCTGCCCCGGCTCCCCATCTAGCTAATATCACTTTTATGAGGATGTATGAAGGGAAACAGGGATGAAAAAAGACTGCGATACGTGTCTACATGTCTGCAGTACGTAAACCATGCGTGCACAAACACAGCATATCCGCCACCAGCCGTGCATATGCACGGCATAACATTATTCTTTGAAAATTATCTCGTGAACATGACCGTCATAATGTGTAGCTTCTACTCAATGACACATTTTAGCGGTAATAATGTATTGCACTGACCTAAGGTCGTCCCGCGTCACATTCTCGTGACTCCGGTACTGTTCTGGGGTGTGATGATACAGCTCTTCATACATCTGCGTCAGCTTATCGCCGTATTGTCTCAGAATCGAGTTCACGGTGGACCTGAAATGTAATTTAACGGGCAAAATAAATCGGCTGCCTTCGGCAGTGAAAGTTATCACATAACTCCATCCACACAGTTTTCTGTAGTAGCGTTTCCCCACTACAAAGAGAGACGAAAGAGAATGAAAAGAGCTCATGTATCGGCTTTAACCCACAATTAGATTAACGTACTCCGTCTTAAGATTGCGAGCTTTCTCGCCCGTCATTTGCCAACTGAGCTTATTTATCACCGTGCGGCCGTGGTTCGCGTGATCGTCGATGTGCGGGCTGACCTGGGATAGTCAGCGCTGTCGTAGGCGCAGAACGACTCGGCCTGGTCACAGCCGGGCGGCGGGAGCGGCAACGCGCCGGCCAGCGGCCGTGACCCCGCCCCGGTCGACTGGAATGGCAAGCCGTTCAGGTCGACTTCTCCGATAGGCTGCAGGTAGGCGTGGCCGGCGGCGGCGGGGCGTGTCGAGTAGGCGGGGCGACCGCCCGAGCCGGCCGAGTAGGCGGGTCGGTCTAGCCCGGCCGGACGGTGCTGGCCGTCGCTCGACCCGGCCGGGTAGTACGGAGAGCCGGCCGCGCCGGATTGGTAGCCTGTGTACGTGGGACGGGACAAGTAGGTGGACGCACCAGGGAGGTAGCTGCTGGCAGCCGGACGAGGCAGGAGCTCGTTGTTGCCCGTTATTTTCTGACGGTAACCTGAAATAAGAATTCGAGGTCGCCGAGTTACCTTGGGATGCTCTCGCAAAGTACACATTACGCAATTCAATCGGACCCGCAGTAGTTCTAATACATAAGTTGATGCTGTGCTGTCGGGTCCTGTCGTCCCGTAAGCGGCAGGACCTTCCCCACACAGTTAGATGTGGCTGTAGGCGAAAAATATGCAATTTTCTTACCGTTGAAAGGTAAGTGCTATCCACCATCAGCAGGAAAAAGAAGCAAAAAAAAAAAACCTGATAAACTGGATGTAACCACGTCTTTGAGAATCGGCGGGGTGGGGAGGGGGAATAAGGATTGGAGGGGTCATACTGGAATCCGATAAGGGGAGACAGCCTGACCTGAAAAGGACGTTTGAAATAGAAGCGTGGAAAACGTCCATTGTGTCCGCATAGCTACAGGGAAGCATACCACTTTGTAAAAATTCCATGGACATGTCCCCGCCTCCTTTCCTCGCCAGTGGTTATACCCATGGTTGATCGGTGAACCCGTTTTAGATATGGGTCCTCATGCAATCGATGACTTAAAACCGCTGACAAGCAGTCGAAGCCAGCCATCGCTGACTTCAGTCACGGACCGAACGGTCACAAGTACAGATATCTATGTCACTAACTATGTGGTCATAAATGCAGATGCCTGTCAGTCACAGATACCTATGTCACAGACCGAGATGTCATAAATGCAAATGCCTGTCAGCCACAGATACCTATGTCACAGACCGAGCGGCACTCGTTCTCGGTGATGAAGTTGTTGCCGTTGCCCTTGCATCCTCCGTAGCGGAACGTCTTGCACTTCTCCTGGGATGAGTCCCAGTACCAGGATATGACGGTACCGGAGCAGGAGCCGCCGTCGGGGTACAGCTGGCAGGCGGCGCGTGAGAGGGTCTGGGCGTAATGGCTGGCTGCTGCCGTCCCGACCAGCACCTGGTGCCACAGCCGGTGGTCCGAGCTGCTGGTCGCGTGTCGGCCCTCCTCCGTCCCGGGAAACGCCACCTGGCCACCCGCCAGGCTGCGCGCTCGCACCGCCGTCTCTGCAAATACCGCAATCATCAGAGTACAGATCTGCTGCTGCTCACTGGTCGCTGACGTCACGGCGTCCATACACAGCTGCTGGATGGCCGCCCATGTCATGGTGTCCATATACAGCTATGCGCTGCCCGATGATTTCACGGCATTCATATACAGCTGCTTACTGCCCGCCGACGTCATGACGTCCTATGCAGCTGTCAATCGACCACTGACGTCACGGAGTTCACCTACAGCTGTCAACTGGTCGCTGACGTCATGGGGTCCACACACAGCCGATAGGCGGCCGCTAACGTCATGAGGTCCACATACAGGTCCAAGACGACCAGAAGCATTACAAAATCTGATAACCTCCAGCTATTCAACACCCAAGACGTCAGACGGCCGGCCGACCTCCATGAGAACATGTTGTGGCAGGTGTGGCCTACGCCCCGACCAAAGTTCACCAGTTATCATCCTATCATTTCCACGTCGAAATAAGTCCGTTTTCGTGACTTTGCACACGTGCCCTACAGCTCTTTCAGCGTTCTGCACTCGGCCCATGCCGGCAGATTCCAAACGACTTAGACATCAGCACATGTTAGGAGCTTTGTATGTCTTTGATGGGCCTTGCCTCCCTCCCCCCTACACCAAATAAAATCAACAATTCAAGACGGAAACATCCGCTTGAAAAGAACGATGGCGTGAATCAACATTTTTGAGAAATTTATAGAGTATGAATTTTGAATATAATTTACAGAATATTAATTAAAAATAGAATGTGAATAATGAGAAATATACTAATTATATTTTTGAGACATTTTAGCTTCAAGCCTCCACAATGAGTTGGGAAGCTCTGGTTTTGCGTTGGAAGGTCGCCATTCAGATACTGCACGGCCGGATGCCTCAGAGAATGCCGTTGGAATACCGATGCTTTCCGTGGAAGATAATAGCGAATAAACCATATGGAAACTAAGGCACACAATGCATCCATCGAGCTATTGCCACTCCCTACCGTACCTTCACTGCCACTGCCATTCAGGCCACGCCAGCATGAGCAAATGACATGCTAGCATAAAGCCACTGTAGTTTTGCAGCACAATGGGCATTGCTACATCTTGCGCGCGACCCGAGCAAGGTCGTCCACGTCTGCATCCCCTCCCAAGGTGGGCTCTCCTCCGTCGGTCAGGGTCGCCTACGTCCGGGACACTCGGCGGTCAAAGTCGCGGGGAGGTGCCTGTTCTTCTGGCGCTCCACCCGTGTCGGCCGTGAGGGGCGGACAATGACGGCTGAGCGGGAGTGGCAGCGGCCGACGCTGCCGTGTGGCGCCGCTTGCGTCAGCTGTCGGCTCGGCGGAGATACGGCCCAGTGAGCGCTGGGACGGCCCACTACCGAACGAGGGCTCCAGCCGACTCTGAGACAACAAATGGAAAGGCCACAGCGGGAAAGACAAGGTCATCATATGAGATGAAGGCTCCATTCGGCTGTTGCGGAGCTTGGCGAAACCCAGTGCGGCAGTGCTTGGCGAAGCCCACAATAATACAAAAGTCGTTTTCATAACCGATTACGGTGCAAAACTTTTAAAACTTGTTATTTGCGTTCAGTTTATATAACACAACTTTTGTAAGTGATTCTCAGCCAACAATCTCACATAGAACCTAAAAGCATGTTTTTAAAGACGTATACTTTGATGAATTGCGGTTGGTTGCCATAAGCAAGATCATGATTTTAAGGGCAGATATAATGCCCGATCTCGTCCTACCAAAAATCTCCGAAACGTTTTAAAAACAGTCGGTGATATGTCTGATACAGATGCGACAAAACAAACACCAATATTCTGGCCGCGTACCTTTTCATAGATATGAGGCACTAACAGAGCTTACACACCTAAACGTGATCCACGACGAATGATCCTTGACTCAAATGATCTTCAAAGTCTACCGATGTAAGCAACAATGCCACAGCCCGCATAATACATCCATCCCTTGAATTATTCACACGACTTACCGCCAGGCGTCTTATTCAACATGAATTTGGGCGAGCTAAAGACATGTACTGAGGAAAAATACCTGTTAATAGCGACTCGTTGCACATAAAGGCGAATCTTAGATGCGCGTGAATTAACAAATCAATGTAAATGAAGCTGCACGAAAGCAACTACTTGCTTGCCAGAGAGTTTGGTGTATTTTCAATGTCACAGAAAAATTAAAAGACTTTACAAAAACTTTCAGCGGATTGACACAACATGGAAGCGGCCAGCACTGAATAATCTTTGGCGTATGTTTAATATGACACTTTTGCTAGCTCCTTTTCACATTGATTAACGTTATGACAAGATACTGAATCGGTGTCGATATCACAAGTATCTGAAGGTTAGGGAAATCCGTGCATATATATATATATATATATATATATATATATATATATATATATATATATATATATAGCTAGATATGACAAAGGAAACGCCGCGGCTTGTGTTAACCGAATGTATAACACATGATGTAAACCGACTCCATTTAAACCGGACAAGCACTTCATCAGCACAAGTTATGACCCACAAGTTAAGTTTAGCTGTCACATGTGGAATTGCGCGTTATGGAATGGCATCATTTTTGTTTGCACCCGATAATCTACTTCTCTCTTTTACTCTGGAATTTCGGACTCAATAAACACGGGTGAATTTCTTTTCAATGATAAAAGAAAGCAGTTAAACATTCTAAAACACATCTGCTTCATGATTTCATTTGAAGCTCCAACATGACTACAGTGTTGCTCCGCAAAAGTACGCTGCTGTCAAAAACGGTGCAACCGGTATAATTACTGCTGTTTCGCATCTTTCAAAGTGTAACTCGGTGCTACCTGTTTCATACAGGTGGCCTCATTATTAACAAAAGGCTACCTCATATTGTAGAAAATGGCCTTCCGAGCCACTGTATGAAGTATTTGCACTCTAGGTCAGTTATGGGGCCTCATTGACTTAAGTTTTGGTAACCTACGTGAGCTAGAAAGCCTTTAATTTGGTCAAAACGGGTGAATAATTTGTTTTGAGGGGGAAGCGAAACACGCCCCAACCCAGCCTCCCCCACTGCCAAACAGGAGAAGGGGGAGCAACTGCCCCTATGCCACACCCCCAGCTGCGTCGCTCTTGGGGAGGAGAACGCGGGGTGTTGCATGGGACGACGAGGACTCGCCTGTGCTCAGCGTACAGTGAGAGATGTCCATAGATATAGGGGATGTCGTATGGCCTGGAGCTCGGGAAATGAACTCTGTAATTGTCAGGGCGCTTCGGTGCCCGTCCACCATGCCCACGCGCAGACATCACACGCACACTTTAGCGCAAGCTTCTGCCCGCGTTTAAGGTAGGCTGCTGATTGATTTATGACGATTAATGAATTGACCTCAATTGCAACTCAAGGCAACATTCAACACAATTGGCACGACCTTACAGGTGGGCCCATGGCGAGACCGTTGCTGGTCAATTTGCACAGGACCGTTGCCGGTCAATTTGCACAGGCGGGGAAAGGCGCAAGCGTCGCTGAATGAACGATAAGGTGATGAGCGGTGTTAAGCGCATGCGCCTGCGTTCTGAAAATAAATCCCTGAATGCTGCATTCTGTCTGTAGCGTGTTCCACAGCGGCCTCTCCAGC